TATTGACTAAATAATGAAATAATTTGGAGGGTCATGGGGTAGATTATATTTAACGGACCAAATAAAATCACTTTACTTCTATATAGTGCTACTACCACACACACCGAATCGAAATATGGCGACCAATTTGAATTTGTCTCTCTTCAAAGCAAAGGCACGGCTACCTTTCAAKATGGCRCAGRGAACTGCTGTGAAAGGGACTATTGTCTTTTCTCTGTAGATTTTACCTTAGTTACTAACCATTTTACTGCCAACATATTTAAATAATTAATTTATTTGTATTACACATGATAAATGAACATTTAATTTCAATTTTTAATTTATATATATATATAAATATATTTGTTATAGTGATTTTACTTAGTTAACCCATGGAACTAGGTTACTTACTACTAATGAATAATGGTCAAATGGAGARCAAAACAAATAGTCAAATAGACGCACAAAAGACAATGGAAAAAACATCTATATATTTTCTAATTATTATTATTATTTATTTTTTAATTTCTAATTATTACTTGAAATGTTTGTATCTGACTTCAAATTTTGGAACAATTTTACAAAGGTTTTGATCCGCAAACACAAATCTTCATTTCATTTCATTTCATTTCATTTCAAGTAATATCATGAAATAAGCTGTCAATAGGACGTTTACATGATGGCGTCATTTGACTCCCACTACCAAGATGCTTGGCGACTATTTTCTTTCTTATTTAAATTTGTATTCCCTCATGAGAATAGTAAGACAATTGGTACTAATTAACTGAACAAAAGAAAGTGTGCAAGGGAGTCTGGTAGTAGAGGTCAATGACGCCATCATGGAAACGTCCTATTATCGTATTTTTAACATAACTTCTAATTAGGTTACCAACTATTTCATGGTCTCAGGAAAATCACTAAATACTTGTATATACCTATATGAAAAAACGTTTTGGTCGGAGGTCTGAAATCTGAGACAAGTACGAGCTGCAAATGTAATATATTTATAGCAGAACAGCGTAGTTTCCTTTTTCATAATACACTCAACAAAATTACTCGATTCTGATTGGACAAGAGGAGTACAATTATGTGCCAAATTGTGCTCTGTAGAGTCCCAATAGCCCACTTCCGAGATATGCTTCACTTGTGCTTTGTGCTTCACGCACGAAGGTTTCAGTATGAGGCTACGTGCTAAATGCTCAGTCATTCGTGACATGCGGTAAGAATTAATTTAATTTAGCACGGAGCCTCATACTGAAACCTTTGTGCGTGACAAACGAAGCCTATCTCGGAGGTGAGCTATTAAGTTGCTCAATTTTGTTGAGTGTATTATAAACAAAATACCGCACAATCTTCTCGTACAATTCGGAATTTATAGATACTCGTGATGTTTTGAAAGTTCTCAAATTGAACTCGCCTAAAAGGCTCGTCCAATTTTGAAAACTTTCAAAACATCACTCATACCTATGAATTCCGAATCGTACTCGAGATCGTGCGATTTCCTAGACAAATTTGAATATGAAGCATGACNATTATTATTTATTTATTTATTTTACCTGACTACATCCTGCAAATGTTTTTACAAGCCTACTAGCTATCTCGATTAACCTCTGGTTACTGTAGCTAGTATGGCACCTTAAAAGATGTCATATTTGTGTTTTATTTATGTTAAGTTAAACAATTGTAAATAAGGTGCTAAATAAAGATTTGATTGATTGATTTGATTGAATTTCTAATTATTACTTGAAATGTTTGTATCTGACTTCAAATTTTGGAACAATTTTACAAAAGTTTCAATCCGTAAACACGAATCTTCATTTCATTTCATTTCTTACATTTCAAGTAATATTATGAATCACGACTCCAATAGGACGTTTACATGATGGCGTCATTTAACTCCCACTACCATAATGCTTGGCGACTATTTTCTTTCTCATTTAAATTTGTATTTCCTCATGGGAATAGTAAGACAATTGGTGCTAATTAACTGAACCAAAGAAAGTGTGCAAGGGAATCTGGTAGTAGAGGTCAATGACGCCCTCATGCAAACGTCCTATTATCGTATTTTTAACATAACTTCTAATTAGTTTACTAACTATTTCATGGTCTCAGGAAAATCACTATATACTTGTATATACCTATATGAAAAAACGTTGGTCGGAGATCTGAAATCTGAGACAAGTACGAGCTGCAAATGTGATATATTTATAGCAGAACAGCGTAGTTTCCTTTTTTATAATACACTCAACAAAATTACTCGATTCTGATTGTACAAGAGGAGTACAATTAAATCCCAAATTGTACTCTGTAGAGTCCCAATTAAGATGCTCAATTTTGTTGAGTGTATCATAAACGAAATACCGCACAATCTTCTCGTACAATTCGGAATTTATAGATACTCGTGATGTTTTGAAAGTTCTCAAATTGAACTCGCCTAAAAAGCTCGTCCAATTTTGAAACATCTCTCGTACCTCTAAATTCCGAATTGTACTCGAGATCGTGCGATTTCCTAGACAAATTTGAATATGAAGCATGACCTTTGAGTTAGACGTGACTTTTCGAATTTTAGCCAAAAAACCATAAAAGCACAAAAATTTTCCATTTAGTCTCAGATCACGCATGATTTCAGATTTCGAACCGTCAACGTTTTTTGAAATACGTGTATACTCTGATCATTGCTTATAACATTTTATGATTCTGATTCTTATCAGTTGAAACACTATAGTAAAACTGACAAGTTGAACCAGAATCTTAGAATATATTGTTGCGTAGTGAGCTCGAACCCAACTTCAGTCCAAAAAAATATTTGGGCACGACTACTGACTTACTCCCTATTTGGAAGGAGGGAATTTAATTGAAATATTCAATCCCTTATATAATAGAGGTTTTGCACCGTCACATCCTCACGCCTATGATACACCTTGGGTTGCCTGTGGTTAGATGGCAGAACAATAGAATCCCTTTGCTCTGGGAATTGAAATCTTTCTCATGTAAAACGATTGTATTGTTCCTGCCATCTAAGATGGCTGCCATCACGTGATGGTGTAAAATCTCTGTAGACCCCTTGCAGCACCTAGGAATGCAGCTTAATTTAGAGGGCATGGTTCTGAAAGAGATCTAGTCAGAAAGATCGGAAAATATGGAAGTCGGCCATGTGCAACCACCGTGTAAAACCTTGGCATAGTTCGCTGAACATACACCTTGAAAATTCATTTTTGGGTCCTTGTATACTCCTTGAATTTTAAGACCTTGGTTTATTTATTCTCCATTGCAATATCCGACGATCCAGTCTTGCGCTTATTCATTCTAAGTTTCACCTCCATCACGATGTACGTCAAGCAAACGAGACCAAGATAACCAAACCATAGTTCCCAGGCTACTGTTGGCATCACGGCCAAGAACACACCAAGAGAAATATTAATGAGGGCTAGTATCAGGGCTGCTCGGCCAGCCAGCTTGTGGTACCATTCCCAGATGATACGCTTAATGGTTCTAGAGCCATCGTTGAATTTATGGGGACGGCTAAAAGTAGGAGTATAATTGTTAGTGATATTTTTGAAAGACTAATTGATTAGGAGAAAATGAGAAGATTTGGCCCTTTCGGCCAAAAGCGGAGCGAGATCGGAAATGATGTAATATTGTCATCTGCGCATGCGAAGAAGAGACGTGCCGGTTTGAATGACGTCAGCGTTTCCAAAAGCCTCCGTTTTCGCTGTACGCAATACTAATACCATAGGCCTTCGTTTTCAAATGTCTCCACTCTGGATAGCGTTTTCAAATGTATGCGTTTTCCACAGCTTTTTCGATCGTTTGAGTGTGGACGCAAGGCCAAAACGCATTGAAGAGTATACTTTTTGATAAGAAAATGCATTAGTGCGTAAGGCTAGAATCTTAGACTAGCCCGGTTGTTTCAGGCAGGGTATATCGATCAAGGTAGCAATGTACCTAATTTTAGAAAAAAAGTGGAATTAATTTAAATTTGAAAGATTTAAATTTGTCAGATTTGAAACAAGTGCACAAGACTATCAATAAAACACTTGCCTAAAATATTTCGATGTGATCCAAAATGGCGGCGATGACGTTAATAGTCCCCTTCACAGTTCCCTGAGCCATCTTGAAAGGTAACTGTGCCTTTTGTATCGAAAGGAGACGAACGGTGATCTTGCAATGATAGAGACGTGAATAATTGTCCAGGGTGTTAAAAAAGGTCTCTATCATTGCAAGGTCAACGTTCGTGTCGCTTCGATGCAAAAGGCACTACTACCTTTCAAGATGGCGCAGGGAACTGTGAAGGGGACTATTCAGTATTACTTAGTCAAATAGTGGTCTAGTGGTCTATCGTCAATGCTGTTCTCTGATTGGTTGAGCTACTACTAGGCTATAAGTTATATCCTACTAGTAGCGAAAAGCGCCGGCTTTGAAAACAAAAACATTTAATTGAACTTTTATTTAAAGCTTGTTTGCATCTATATATTTGACCTACTAGTTGGATTTGACTGAAAAAATATAGTCTTCTCGTCCTCATGGCCTGAGTCAACAGCCCATTCAGGCTCGAGGACTAATTGCTAAGTAGCTCAAAAATATGATGATAATCGAGAAAGTTTTTTTTTACTTTATACTTACAATAAGGCATTTAGTGGCTGGAGTAAACCAACAATCATCACAACCAAGCCAATGATTGAATGCGCAAACTTGAAGT